AAAAAAAAAATGCAAAGCGGCAGAGTTTACGTGGGGAGCCTTCCCCCCCATTTCAACGAAAAAGACGTCGCCCGCGAATTTGGCGTTTTTGGGCCTGTAATCAGAGTAGACCTAAAGAAAGCTGTAAGTTTATTTATTTATTTATTTATTTATTTTGTTCTGTTTGTTTTGTTTTTGTTTGTTTTATTTGTTTTGTTTTAGTTTATATTATTTATTTGCTGTTTTTTGTTTTTTTTGTTTTTCGTTTTTTTTGGTCGTTTTCGGGCCTGTAATCAGAGTATACCTAAAGAAAGCTGTAAGTTTATTTATTTATCTTTTTATTTATTTATTTGTTTGTTTATTTATTTTGTTTTGTTTGTTTTGTTTGTTTTGTTTTAGTTTGTTTTATTTGCTGTTTTTTGTTTTTTTTGTTTTTCGTTTTTTTTCGTTTTTTTGGTTGTTTTCGGGCGTGTACTCAGAGTAGACCTTAAGAGAGCTGTTAGTTTATTTATTTATTTATTTATTTATTTATTTTGTTTCGTTTGTTTTGTTTGTTTGTTTGTTTGTTTTGTTTGTTTTGTTTTATTCTGTTTTGTTTATTTGGTTTTGTTTTGTTGCTTTTTTGTTTTTGTTTTTTTTTCCTTTTTTGGTTGTTTTATGGCGAGAGGAGATCTAGAAAAAGCTGTGTTTCATTTAATTTATTTATTTATTTTATTTATTTATTTATTTATTTATTTATTTTGTTTTATTTAGTTTGTTTTATTTTATTTAGTTTGTTTTATTTTGTTCTACTTATTCTGTTTAGTTGCTTTTGTTTTGTTTTTTTTTTTTTCGTTTTTTGGTTGGTTTTATTTACGTATTTACTTATTTATTTCTTTTGTTTGTTTTAGTTTGTTTTGTAAATATAAATAAATATAAATAAATATAAATAAATATAAATAAATATAAATAAATATAAATAAATATAAATAAATATAAACAAATATAAATAAATATAGATAAACATAAAAAAACATAAACAAACACAACCAACCACAACAAACAAAACAAAGCTAAAAAAAGCAGACAAACAGCAGCAGCATCATCATCATCATCATCAGCATCACCAGCAGCAACACCCATCTCTCTCTCTCTCTCT